TAAAGTATATAAAGTAAAATATATAGGTAAAGTAATTAACTGTGCTGGCAAAAATTTAAAGTGCTGCTGGCAGGCATTTAATTTCATATTCTGTGTTGGAAAATTTTAACTGTCAATGATTTTTTGATTTTTTAAATTGTGCTCTATAGTATTGTTGTGTTTTGATGTTTTATATGTTTTGTTTTCTTAAAAAAATGGAGCCCCATGTTATGGCCAAGAAAGGCATTAAACATTTCCCATAATCATCTCTTCAGAGAAGACCCACTGAGCTAAATGGACTAACATTAGTTATGTCTATTGATTTCAGTGGGTCTCCCTTCTGTAAGACCAGCATTGGACAAAACACCTTTTCAAAAGGATGCACTTTTCCTCAGCATCTTCAGAAACCTATTCTATTATACTTAGGTGTTTGTTTACTTGACAGGTGCTCCTTTCCCCCCAAATCATTTCATTTTACATAAAATATCAATTCATAACAAACCCCGCCAGCGCTTGGGGTGGACCAAAGCTGTTGAGCTTTTTTTAGGGCAGCCAATTTCAGGCAGCGCCCAATATACCCGGCTACCGTCATGCTGCCCTCAAGCTCCCCTGCTGCCTGGAATCCCACCCCCAGATGCACAGCAGCCACCATGCCACCCTACAGACCCCCGTGCCACTCTAAGCCCACCCACCTCCCCTGGCTAACTACGCTACTGCTTGACGTCTCCCAGGCTTCTGTTGCATTTTGGCAGAACAAAGGTGCTAGTCCTTTTGCAAGCAAACTATGGCCCAGTGGGAAGATGTTATGTCAGCTAGTGATACAGAACAGTTTCTTATGCCCACTACTCTCTTTAGTCAGCACTGCTTGTTGCCAATGCACCAAATGTGGAAGATATAGAAGCAAAATATGCATACATAAAGACATTTAAGCAACTGTGTGTGCGTGTGGGAATCTGGGAAACCTAGTGTGCTGCCGCCTAGTGGCCACCCGGCCGTAGTAACCACCAAGCAGCAGGTTCTTTGGATCTCAGCAAATGGAGGGCAACATATGTATACTTAAGCAACCTTTGTTAACAATTATAATAATAACCATAGAAACAGAAACAGGTGCTAATATACAAAACAAAGATAATTAAAGGACATTAGCAGAGAGGCAGATTAACAATATAGAATAAAGTAATAACTTAACAAAAACTATAAAGCCAATAATAACTAATATAAAATATAATGCCATTAGTATAGGCAATAAGCAAAGATTTTTGGCGAGAGAAATAATAACAGATATAGTCACAGAATAGTTTCAGCTTCACATCTTCCCCCGCCCTTGGAGATCTCTGGTGCTTCAGGCAGGCAGACAGTTCTAACTTAGGCTCAAGAGCCTTATCTTCACCCTCTGGAATGGTTCATATCAAGAGCTCATTGAATTGATGGAGTTGGGGCCTTATATAGCGTCCTGGAGCAGCTTCCCACTGTTTCTGCGGCAGGTGTTCATGTTGGAATCCCTTTCCCATCCTTTGAAGTCGAAGTACTGTATGAGCTGGCTCAGAGCAAAGCCACTCCTTTCTTTCCTATGCCTGTAGCTGCGTTCCTTATCTCAGTGACTATATATGGAAATAGAAGCTAAACTGAAAAACAGGAGCACCATCTTCTGGCTGTTTCCCTGGCAATACACCTAGCTGAAGAAGTCTTCTCAGGTGCATGTGCAGGGGTGTTTAAAAGCATCTGCATATGCCTATTTTACTTACTATGTGTTTCCTGAGTAAGGCAAGTTTTTGCAGCACTGACAATCTGCAGCACTGATCTTTTCATTTCCCTGCCATGCTCACTGTCCGTTACTTGTGACCAACCAGAGGCCTATGGGAAACCTGCAAGCTGAACCTGAGTTCAACAGCACTTTCCCTTCTTGCAGTTTACAGCAACCAGTATTGAGAATAATGATGATGCCTCCGAGAGTAGAGGTGAAGCAAAACCATGGCTAGTAGCCACTGATAGCCTTACCCTCCCTGAATTTGTCTAATCCTCTTTTAAAGTCATCTAGTTGGTGGCCGAGGGACGCGGGTGGCGCTGTGGGTAAAACCTCAGCGCCTAGGACTTGCCGATCGTCAGGTCAGCGGTTCGAATCCCCGCGGTGGGGTGCGCTCCCATTGCTCGGTCCCAGCGCCTGCCAACCTAGCAGTTCGAAAGCACCCCCGGGTGCAAGTAGATAAATAGGGACCGCTTACTAGCGGGAAGGTAAACGGCGTTCCGTGTGCTGTGCTGGCTCGCCAGATGCAGCTTGTCACGCTGGCCATGTGACCCGGAAGTGTCTGCGGACAGCGCTGGCCCCCGGCCTCTTAAGTGAGATGGGCACACAACCCTAGAGTCGGACACGACTGGCCTGTACAGGCAGGGGTACCTTTACCTAGTTGGTGGCCATCACTGTGGGAATGAGTTCCAAACTATGGAAGATGGACTTCTTTCATCTGTCCTGAATTCTCCAACATTTAACTTTGGATGAATTCTAGTGTTATGAGAGAGGGAGAAAAACTTCTCCATTCTCTCCATGCCATCCATAATTTTATACACTGAAAATAATCTCCTTGGCTCAGAATTTTTAAGTGTGTACTTTTTGCACTGGCTGTTTGGTACTCTCATAAAAAAGCCTGCCTGAAGTCTGTCATCCCTTGCTCTAAGAGACGACTGGTGTCTCCTTTCTCTATTGTGGCACACCAGACTCTGGACATTGGCTGCTGGCTGCTGTATGAACAAGGGACTAAGTCATATAGCATATGGGCCACAGACATCATATAGCATCTTGTGCCACAGACACTATATACGAGCATTTAAACCTCCTGATGGAGGAGACAAGACAGCTGCTGTTCCTCGTGACCATTCCCTTTGCAGTACTCTTGTCCCCCTTCCCTCACCTGCAAACATCCAGGTGTGCCACACTGCAGATATAATGGAGAGAGATGGCAGGACTAGGTTCCTGCATTGGCTCTTGGTTTAACAGATTTAAAGGCTCATGTCTTCCATCAGTCTTAGCTAAAAGGCAACCATAAGACATAATATCACTTATTGTGCCAGGCTGGGTAGCAATCTATACCCATGCACCTGTGCAAAAGCCTATGTGGGCAATCTTATCTGTCCTGAGAACAAAAGCTACTATTTGAAATCTATGTCTGAGAAGTAAGTCCTATTGAACTCAGAAGAGACTCAACTCTTAGCAAATATGTTTACCTGCCAAACTGCTTCTACAAATGATGTTTAAATATGCTGGAACATTTCCTTTGATTTACTGCAATTTGAATTTAAAATTTGCCTTGCCCAGAATACTAAACATAGCTGTAATCCTGGGAGTAAACCCCACTGAACTCAGGGAGACTTACATCTGAGATGACGTGTATAGGAGTCTCTAGAGCTGTAATTCTGTCCCCCATTTTCTATCCTGCTTTAGCAACATTCACACAAGCATTGCCTTCCATATTAGAATGGACTCTTCTTAAGTCAATTATGCAATAAACACAACCATATTTATGTCCTTGGTGAAGATATAAAATCTCTCCCAATCTTTGGATCCCTCCTCAAAAAAAACCTTTCCTCATTCCTGGTTGAAAAACTTAGCCTATTGCTTTCCCTTGGATTTATCCTGTGTGTGTCCCAAGTCTCAACCACTCCTCCCCAGTTGTTACCCTGTATATTTCTCTTGAATGGGGAGGCACTATCGAGATTTCAGTTATGATCTAGGCCAGGAGTCAGCAAACCTTTTCAGTGGGGGGGGGCGGTCCACTGTCCCTCAGGCCTTGTGGGGGGCCAGACTATATTTTGGGGGGGGAAGGGGGGGAGAAAGAATTCCTATGCCCCACAAATAACCCAGAGATGCATTTTAAATAAAAGCACATATTCTACTCATGTAAAAACACCAGGTCAGCCCCACAAATAACCCAGAGATCTAGGCAGATCTTTCTGTTTATGCATTGTTAGTTACAACAATAATCTTTTTTTCCCCAGCAGCTCCTTTGCATTTAGCAGAATTTGGAATATTTATTATAATTTTAGCAAATTAGAGAAGAAGGGGTGGAATATATTGAAACACAAAGGGAGACAGGGAGCTGGTTGTCATACAGAGCACTTTGTGTTCTGTGTGAATAAACTTTACCCACTGAGTACTACACTATTCTGTTCATAAGCTCTCTGTAATCACAGTCTAGTTTGGAGGTTTTGTAATTTATTTATTTCATTCATATTTATATGCTACTGTATCATAAAAATATATCACAGTGGCTTACAACAATATAAAACCATAAAACCATACAGTAATGTTAGAAGAATTTTAAGGTCTTGTTATAAGAAAATACTGCTCCTTTTCCCTTATGGGGTATCCAAGAGCCAGTATAGAGTCCTTAAGTAGGTCCCCTATTGGAAGGAGAAAATAACAGGCCAACCAGAGAATATTGAGAGAAAGGGCAGCTAGTAAGCCTGATCTTTATTACCTGTTGCAACAGGGTGCTCACTATCACACGCAGGAGGCAGGAGGGACCCAGAACAATGGTGTGCAAGCCCTATATAGACTTTTGACACTACCCACCCTGCCTACGATGCAGGGGTTCAAAACATTACACTCCAAGAGGATCCTGTTTCTCCCATTGCTGCTGGATGCAGAAAGAAATCAAGAATGCTCAGCTTGCTGCGTTTAAGACTGCACTCAGAGTTCCTCCTTACCCACATCATCCCCAGCTGTAATGCTTAAAACAACCGCTCTCCTTCCAACTCTAAAACTCCACTTGAAAGGCTTTTGTCCTTCTAACCAATTATGAGTGGAGAGAGAGGCCCCTCCCATTTGCCCTCTGGCACAGCGCCACCCACTTTGCCCCACTATTAACTCATATTTAGTGGGCTATTATCAGGCTGGCTCCTGGCTTGTATTTTAACATGCTAAATCCAGTGTGTGACACCCAGGAATCTGAAGGGAGCCCAGGACCTCCGCAAACTCATAACAATACCTTTAATGAGAAAATAAATTTCATGAAATGTTATTGCAGGCGTTCCTCATTCCTGATGCCTGGCTCCAAGCCATCCTCTACTCCACCTCCCCGTCCTCTACCACAGCCCAGTCCAAGAAGAGGTGCCCAGATCCGGCCAACAGTGTTGACTTGTGCTGCACCACGCAAGCAAGAAGTAAGTTGGTGGGGAGTCAACCCCACTCCTAGCAAGCGCCAGAGGTTGTCCTGATCAGACAGTTGCCAAGGTGTGCCTGTTGGGATTTTGGTAAATATACTGCTCTAGGCCACTTCAGTCTCTGCCAAGCAGCAGCAAGAGATTCCAAGGGTTTGTACTTCCTTGGAAATAGGAGGCACAGCAGAAACAAGTGCCTTTAAGAAATCTGGTATATTCACACACATTGTTTTTTTTTCTAACAAAGTGTTTAGGGGTACTGTCATTTTTCTACTCATATTGAAATACTGCCCCTCAATGAGACCAAACTTAGCCTCACAAAATGTTTAGGGGTATGCATACCCCTGTGTCTCCCCAGAAAAAAACCACTGTTCACACATATTTACTGTATTTTTCACTCTACAAGACACACTTTTCCCCCTCCAAAAATTAAGGGGAAATGTGTGTGTGTGTCTTATAGAGCAAATGCAGGCTCCGTGGCTTCAGCGATAGCAACACGAAGCCTCCGAAGCGCAGTGGGAGAGCTCCTGCCATGCTCTGGAGGCTTCGCGTTGCTTTTGCTGAAGCCTGGAGAGCGAGAGGGGTCAGTGCGCACCGACCCCTCCCGCTCTCTAGGCTTTGGGTTCCTTTCGCTGAAGCCAGGAAGACTCTCCTGGTTTCAGCGAAAGGAACCCGAAGCCTCCGGAGCGCAGCAGGAACTCCCGTTGTGCTCCGGAGGCTTCGTGTTGCTTTTGCTTTTGCTGTTTGTTTTGATTCTAATAATAATAATAAATTTTATTTATACCCCGGCCAAGACTGGGCTCAGGGCGGCTAACACCAAATATATAATACATTAAAAACACAAAATCAAGCGATTAGATTTAAAATACAATTCAAAATCACATTTAAAATCAAAATAAAATTAAGTGGGAACCCACAAATCATAACTGTAGGTGTAAGGAATTAAATGTTCACCAGGCCCGGCCACCCATGCTGGTCCCATATGGGCCAATAGAAAGAACCAAGGAGGCCACTTACACATGGGGTCCCATAGAAAGAAATAAGGGGGTCAGACAGGGCCCAGACCAAAGGCCCAGTAGAACAGCTCTGCCTTGCAGGCCCTGCGGAAAGATTCTGTGGTAAAGAACATGTTTACTAGAGGAAAGCTGCTGGACAAATGCAAAACTGCTTGGATCTGTGCCTAGAAAGCACAGGACAAGTGGAAAAACCACTCCAACCCAGGACAAGCAGAAATGTGGATGAGCACTAAGATTCATGGAAGTCTTGGGTTATCCCTATCTTAAAGACTCCAGGAGGATTCACATCTGAGATTCCTGGATTTCATTTGACTCTCTTATTTTCCTCAGGTCACTCACACAGATGGCAGTGAACTGCCCCTTGTCGTCCTGCCCCCTTCTGGGTCGTTACTACCCCAGGGAGCCCATTCAGCAAGTTCAGGCCCTGCCCCACCCCACAGTAAGTAGAGGCAGGGGAAAGGGTGGCATTTGTGAGTGGGAATATAGCAGCTTCCCTACCTATTCTTGTCTGCCTTTGTTTCAGGGAACATCACGGAGAAATGGGACTGGGTTCAGTTCCCAGCCCCGCCTGCACTCCATCCCAGAGAGAGGTCCCCTGCGAAAGGAACACCTATGGACAACACCCCTTGCTTTCACAGCCATGAGGAAAGGTGAGCTGTCCGACTGCCCTGAATACCTCTTTCGAAACCACAAGTTTCTGGTACCAAAAGCACCCCTACTAGATGCACTAATTTTTTAAGAAGGTAAACAGGTCTATACCTCCCATTGCAGTTTGCTTTATTAAATATATTTATTCAAATGTATACAAAAAATCATACCCATTACAACATATATTTTTATAATACACTGAAATAAAACAGGATAGCTCAGTTGGTAGAGCATGAGACTCCTAATCTCAGGGCCGTGGGCAAAAGTGGATGCTCCTGCCACATCTCCTGTGGAGTTACTAGAGCCACTAAGTGATGGAAGTAAGAGAACCCCCTCTGCCCATAGCAGCTGCCAAATCAGAGTCCCATCAGCAAAACACAGAGACCACACTGCAAACAGGCACCTCTAGGTTGGTTAAAATATTTTGTTTGCTAAGCGGAGAGGGGTCTTGGGTAGGCCAAGGGGCGTTGTGCTTCGATGTAGTACTTTTTGGACCTGTTGAACTCCTGTAGTTTGCATTCTGCAAAGCTCCAGTTAGTTTCATTTTCCATTCTTGTTACATAGCGATAAAGGACAGTTATGTTTGAGAGGCCTGCTTCCTTCTGATATGCTTTCCTGTTACCCCAACACAACAAAACACAAAACCAGGATTTTTGTAGGATGGGCCTGAGATTGCGAGCAGGTCCTTGGCATTGTCCTGGGAGAAAGCAAAACAGTTGAACCTAGTGGCTGAATGTCTCGGACTTGTTTTCTCTTGCAGAGTCATGTGCAGAATGCGCAGAGAGTGGCTGGTGCAAGAAGAACTGGTGAACAAATTAGCTCTGCAGGTATGGACAAAGTTGGCAGGTGGTGGGATGAGGGAGAGGGGTGGACGCTGACACAGTCACTGTGAAGGAAGCCTGCAGAACAGAGAGCTTGCTAGGCGTATGGTCCTCCAAGTATAGCATCTTATGTAGCCAAAATGGCAACACTCACACACAAGAGGGAGCAAGATTTGGGAAGTACATACAGCAAATCTTAACATCTTGTGGAGGAACCTCTCAAATGACCCAGTTTGGGCTGAGCACATGCTCAGTAGGTATGGTGGGGTGAAGAGGGAGGGGAGTGGAATAGAATGGAATGGCTGGGAACCTGAACAGGAGCATCCCACTATTTTGTTGTGGGTCCCACTAGTTAGCACTATTTTCCCAAAGCCATGAGTTTTTCCAGAGCTGGTGTGTGGAGATTGCATTTAGGTGAAAAAAGAGCAAGAGGAAAGAAAGATTCTTTTTAAAAAAAGAAATGGCAAGTGAATAGTAGACAACCGCAGGTTGGGGAGAGAACAATGAAGTCTTCTGAGGAGGCAAAAGCTCAGTTTGCTGAATCAGAGAGCTTTCAGCAGGCATGGCCACTGCTGCTTTCTGAAACAACAACAAAGGCAAAACTTACTGTTTAAAAAACAATGAAAAGATTTTCAAGACCCTTTGCACTCTGTCCCTCATTCAGAGGAACTTACATCTGATTGATAACCTAGGTTAAGGGATATGACTAAGCTGGAAGAGGCATGCGTGGTGCATCTAGAAACTGATTGTGCTTTTTTCTCCACCTTCCCCCATGATCTAGCTGGCACAAGAGAAGCAGAAACTGTTAGTCATGCGGGCAGAGTTGGCACCTGCCTTCCTTTCACAGCATCCAGATGCACCAGTGCCAATCATTTCATGCCAGTCTGAAGGGCCAAGGAATGAGTTTGAGGGTTTGGAATGCCACTCTAACAGCCATGGAGCCCACCTCTGTTCAGGTGAGAAGTGTTGGTGGAGAATGGAGGCCAGGTTCCATCCCCGTCACTAAGCTCTAGAAATGGATGGCACATTCCAGCCATTAGATTTCAGGAGTGGGCATGAAATACAAAATTCTGTTGTCTGTTTAGGGTGTGGGGAGGGTTGTCGGAGGGTTGCAGTGATTGAAAACAATGCCAGTTTCTGAGAAAGGAAATGGGAACAGTTCAGGAGTAATTCTAGCCACACACCGTGGAAACATCAGAGTCCATGCACTGAATTTCACACCATGTTTTACTCTTAGCCATTCAGGTGAGTCAGTTAGCATACCATCTCACCTCTGCTTGGGGTTCTTGGAGCGCTCTGTGGACTAGTAATGTGTATTCCTATTAAAGGGCATGCCCATATTATCAGTCCCTGGTAACATCATATAGAGACCTTGACAATGCTAAGCTCGATTCATGGATGTCCTGGACAGTCAGTCCTGGACAGTCCTCCTTGAACAAGAGGACAAAAGCAACATAGGGGTAACATGGCACCAGTTCCATTTTGAAGCTGATTTGAGGCTGGCTTGTTGTCATGCTGCCTCAGTTTGACAGTTAGAAGTGAGTAAGCATCCTAAAATCTGAGCCTCCTGCCATTTAGATGCTGCATCTGAAGGCTTGATACAAAGAAATGTCCCTGAGCATGAGCAGAGTGCCCTTTCCCACAAGTCGCCACAGTCAGTCTTGACTGCTTTAGAGTTAAGGGATCTCACACAGGTTTGAAGTCTGCCATTTAGGAAAGAGTGTCTTGGCTGACTGGGCTCTCAAGCAGATGATTTGGAACCAGAAATCTCCAGCAAAGAATTGCTCCTACTAACACCTCCAGCCTCATTTCTGTCTACAGAGAGAAGCCCCAGCATAGAATATTACCGTCACACTCTCAACCGCCCACCTTTCACGTACGCTGCCCTTATTCGTTGGGTAAGTTATTTAGCAAAAGGTAAATACGAAATCCCATACATATAGGATACAACTATATTTTTTAAATGTTATGCAGATCTTTACCAGATCAAAACCCCAAAATTTGAATGTTGTTTTCCAGATACAGTATGATTGAATGTCCTTGCAATAGGCACCATTCTTGTTGCCCCTATATGCTATTGCCTCCCTTCTCTACTTCCTGGCTTCAGCAGCACTATCCTTTGCCCACAAACCTCTTCCTTCTCAGTTGCCTTCCACTTGTGTCTGTTTCCTGTAGCCAACAACTTTCTGAAAAGTTCACTGTGTGGTTGCAACACACCCGTTAAAGAATGGGATGGGGAATCTGGCCCTCCAGATCATCCCATGTGAAAAGAACCTATGGGTCTTGGTGGGCACAAGCCTGACACGAGTCACAGGCTTAATTCCCATCATTCCTGCCTACTGGCTATGCTATCTGAGGCTGGTGAGAGTTGGAGTCCATCAACCCCTGGAGGACTTTAGGTTACCTCTATCTGCATTGATAGAAAAAGTTCTATCTGGATTACTAAGCCAGTGAGGACTGAAGGGCATCTAAAGGGTGTTTTGGTTTGGGTTTTTAAAAAGCCCATTCATCTGATCACATACTTCACATGGAAGTGTAATTAGTGGCAAGTGGGGGATTATGCAGGGCTAGACCTAGCTGTCAGCAACTCAAGCAGCTATTTAAGTGCTTTAAGAGGTACAATGAAAGGCATATGTCACACATAGAATGCTTGGGCACAGCTCTCCAACAACATACAAGTGTTGAGTTGAGCCTAGTACCCACTGGGGCCCACTTCCAGTGATGTGCATGGCAGCTGTCAGAGAAAACAAAACATTTCAGCCTACCCTTTGATTCAGGCTCCATAACTTACTGTACAATTCTCACATGGGCTCTCAAAAAGCAGGGGTTGCCATCTTTCTTGGGCTAGTGGGCATCTTTAGAATTTTGAGCATGCATCACATGGCTGCAATGCACACCTGGCATAACACAAAGTGGCTGCCACATCTAAAAGAGCAGAAAAGGGTGTGGGCATCTGCATCAGTCACTTGCTCAGAGAGTGAGGGATGCTCTTTTCACCTCTCCTTTGTTCAGAAGACAGTGCAACCAGGAACTGAGCAGGAAGAACAAACAGTCCTTTCTGTATTGTGGATTTTTGAGGTGTTATTTACTGAGGCCTTTTGCAGCCACCATAGGACATAGTTGTGGGTACATAGGTGAGCCCTGTGCAAGGCACACTGAACCTCCCTCCCTCCCATCACCTTCTACATGCATCCAATTTAGCACAACAATACTGGGAGCACAGAAGGCCCTTTTGTTGCTTTTCAAGAAAACGCTGAGATACCTTTGCCTCAAAACCAGGCTGTTAACCATACCTGCCTATTACTTGCAGGCCATCTTACAATCTCCTAAGAAGCAGCTCAGCCTGAGTGAGATTTATCGCTGGTTTAACAACTTTGGCTACTTCAGGCACAATGTAACCACCTGGAAGGTGAGGGGATCCCATTCTTAAACTGAGAATCAAGGGGCAGCCTCCTCTGAAAGAGCAGAAGAGGCAGAAAACAGGCGGGAGGATATGGACAGAGCAGGCATGAAATGTTCCACTTCTTAGATTGAAATCTCAACTACTGAGCGAGTGAGATCAGAACCCCCAAGTTTAAAAATTAATTTTTAAAAATCAAAAGGACTTTGATGTGTACACTTTGCAGAATTGGAAACACAATTTCTCCAGACTAGGGAACCAGGACAGAAATGAATGGTGAAAAATGTGGGACAGCACTTTAAAAGTATAATAATAATAATGAACAGACTGAAAGAGGTGAGTTTTAGAACCTTGCCTCAGAAACACACCCCACCCTGTAACACTCAAGAGATAATAAAGGTATTTGATTCTGTACTGCCCAAGAAACCATGGGGAAGGCTGATGATGGCTTAGTCCTAAGTACCCTCAGTAGAAAATCTTCAAGTAGACTGATCTTGGTTAGCTAGAACTATGACTCAGTAGCCTGGTTTGCACATAATGCTAAGCCAAGCTATGGCTTTTGTGTTACTGTGCACCGGCAAGCTTGCTCATTAATAAAATGGCAGCCTCTTCACTCCTCTCTTGCTCCTGCAACACTACCTGGAGCCAAGCCTTAGTTTAACTTAGCATTATACGCAAACCCAGGCTCATTGTTTGTCTCTCTTCAAACAAATCATGTGCTTTAAGCAAGGTTTGTTCTTGGCTTACTGCTCATGGTTGGTTTGGCACAAAACAAGCCACAAGACTGAAGTCACACAGAATGTTATGTCAAACTAAGGCTTGGCAGTGCAGGAGGACAAAAGTGGCTACAGTCTTCTTACTGTGCACACTTGCATGTTGACACTAAGCCAGGGGTTCCCAAAGTGTGGCCCATGGACTGAGTTTCATTCAAGTAGCCCACAACATGTCTGCAGATTTGCTGTTAAAGACAGGAAATGGCTCACCTATCCATCAAATAGTCATACTGATTTTAATTGTATTTCATTGGTTCTCTTATTTCTTATACTGTTTGAATTCCATAGAATGTAAATTGCAATACATAGAATCATACAATCATAGAATTTTAGAGTTGGAAGGGACCCCAAGGGCCACATACGCCAACCTGCTGCAATCTTAAAACGTGGTCCCCCATTCAATTATAAACAATACTGGACCTTGCTTAGCTTTGCAAATGTGCGAGCAGTTTTATTGCTGCACCACTACAATAAATACCATATAAAAATGTTCTTAATAAAAGAAGCAATAAAAACACAATGCCTTACCATTGTTAAAACAGAAAATAAATTATTAAGACCCTAAGCAATGCTCAAGCCCTCTATGGGAGGAAAAAGTTTGGGAAGCACCCACTAAGCCACAGCATACATAGCTTAGCATTTGGGGCAAACTGAGGCAGTATAAGATGGCTTGTTTATTTTACTGTATATTCCTGGGATCACAGTGTTTATTGCAGATGAATACATTTCTATTCATTTCTATAGCAAGTACTTTATAAAATATTAGTTCTAGAACGCCATAGAGCAGGGTTAAGGGGCTGAAGATCCTGCTAAGAGGGTTGAAGGGCACCTGAGGGAGGGAGACTTTGGCAGAGGGACGAGAGTTAAGTCGGGGTAAAGGAGAAGGCGGGTGTAATGGCCAGGGCACCCTACCCATCTTTTCTCAACCAACAGAATGCCATTCGGCACAACCTGAGCTTGCACAAGTGCTTTGTGCGTGTGGAGAATGTGAAAGGAGCCGTGTGGACGCTGGACGAGTTTGAGTACCAGAAGAAAAGGAACCAGCGTTACTCCACTTATTCACACCCATATCTGGACAGCCAAGAAGCAGCAGCAGGGTCTTCTGCAACCCAAGAGAGATTGGGCCAACCAAGAACAGAAAGGCGCATCCACCACAGGCTGGAGTCCTCTCCGCACTTTTTGTTTCCTTAGGGACCATGAGCTGAAGGATCGCAGTGCAGACGTCCCCCTGCAGGCGGCCTGGCAGCGAGTGTGTGTGTGTGTGTGTGCACATGCCCCCCCCCAAACAAGCTGGCTTATTATAGCCACCAGCTTTCCTCAGCATGCACACACAACCCACAACTGAGCCTGCTTCCAGACAAGAAAGCAATATTGCAAAAAGATCAAATCCAGAAGAGGGGGGAAATGGGAACCTATGCAAGCCTCCCCTGTAACCCCCGCCCCCCATGTTACTGCACACGCAGCCAGCACAAGTACGCTGCAAAAAGAAGAGAGAGATTTTATTGGTTTTTGAGAAGAGATGATAGGAGGTTTGCTTGGAAATAATAAATGGAGGAAACAATTACTCCCCACATCTACTTCTCCAATATACAATCTATGTCAGAAAAATGGCACTAGGGACCAATCCCACCCTCCGCCTCAAAATGTGCTGCACGTTGGCTTGATTTTAGGCAACTTACAATGCAGACAGAGCCTGGAAGGAGGAGCCCTGCTCATACTCCCCGTGCCCCGTTCCTTGATAGAGGCACAGCAGTCTTGATTTAAAAAGAGGTCAGGTACCCCACCATCAGCCCCCTGTAGCTGTGCACTGGGAAGGGGGCTTCACGTCTCTCGGGTACGGCTAAGCAGTGCTGCGTTTTCCTGCTTCATGGCCCGGTAGTCACTGAGGATCCTCTCCAAATTGCTCAGGGTTTTCTTGCTGGTTTCACTCTCAATCTGGGAAAAGAGACATTTTATTTTATGAATGGGTAGCAGTGTTCAGCAGGGAGAACTATTGCTTTATGATGGTATCCCAGTTGTGCTGTGTAAGCAGCCATGTAAGAGTTGCATTCAGAATGGAAGCCTATAAATATTTTGAAATAAATAAAGCAAGTGTTAAGGGGATTTTTAAAAAACCCAACACCACTTATTTCTGCTTGAGTGCTGAACCAAGTTTGCCTGCTAAATCTGGTAATGCTTAAAACAACCCCCCACCCGCCACACCTCGTGCATATCATGTGAATAAGACTGCAGCATTAATCTAGGAAGGACCATCGTGCAAGTGGCAGGTGTGACTGGCAAGATGCAGGAGGGCTCAGGTTCAACTCCTGGGATCGTAATTCTATTCCTACTCATCATGGGAAAGGGAGAGAAAGACACAGATTTGGAGGCCACTGAGGTCCCACATCCTGTCCACAGGAAGTATGTTCAGGCACCCACACTTCCTGCTTGCAACCTCAACAACAAGAGTCATGCTTTTTTTTTGTTAATCTGGAAGTAAAAAAAAATATCTGAGGTGCATGGTGAGTCTACAGAATCACAACGGACAGAGTCCATAATGAGGGCTGAGAATCAAGGGGCAGCCTCATCTGAAAGAGCAGAAGCGGCAGAAAACAGGCGGGAGGATATGGACAGAGCAGGCATGGAATGTCCCTCTTTCTAGACTGAAATCTCAACTTCTGAGCGAGTGAGATCAGAACCCCCAAGTTTAAAAATTAATTTTAAAAAATCACAAGGACTTTGATGTGTACAGATGGCAGAACCTGCAAGCTTCCGGCACAGGAGTGGTGGTAAGGAAGCAGGGGAGAAAGCGTGACTGGAAGCTAGAACAGAGGGACAGGGGTCCATGTTTGGCAGCTCATTTTTATTTCTAAAGAGGGAGTTGTTAAAAGATATTTCCTGGTATCCTAATTTCTGAAACAATTTCCTCCACACTGCAAGACAGTAATGTTTAATGTTTCCACCCACTTTCTGGCAGGCCTCACCTGCTCCTCTAAGTCCCGGATCTCCCTCAGGATGGTGCCAGTGTCCTCAATAGTCTGAATCAGTTGACTGCAGTTCTAAGGAAGAGGAAGAGTCAGAGTCAGCTGGAAAGGGATGTAGCTCTAACTGCAGCTCTATATCTATACATGAATTAATATATTACTGCTGAGGCTTACCTCGTGCAGTGCTGCCAAATATTTATATGCCTTCCTCACAGCCTCGTCGCGTTTGGCATCCTGCAGAAAGAAAGAATGCAGAAGGGAGGGATGGAAAAGTTAGCAACTGGAAGGTCGGCCAAAGCGCTGCTCTCCATCTCCCCACCCCCCGAAATCTGATCCCTTGCCTTCACCTTAAAAACCAGCTCATCAGTGACAGCAAAGGTCCGGTCTACCTTCCCAGTGAGGCCATTGATCTCCTTCTGGAGCTCCTTGGTATCTGACAAGATCTTGAGAAGCACAAATAGCAGGCATTAGAAAATGGAGACTGTTAATAGGTTGAAAACCCAAACTCGGGAACAAAGACAGATAACAACATTGGTAACAACAACAACAACAGGCTGTAAACTAACAGCTGGTTCTGTCCTGGGGTGAGGGATAGTACTTGTGGTCAGCATAGCTGGGCTCCTGCTGGTTGCCTGCATGAGAGGATCATCCCTGGCACAGGGAAATGCTGCTGAGGGGCACCATCTTCGCATGATCAGACACACGCATATCGGCTATGAGAGTTCGCAGGCCCCGTGGGATTGCAAGGGTCCCTTGTCCTAGTATGAATTAAAGGCAGTAGTGGCATCCTTTTTAAATCTTTAAGGCAGCTTCCATTTATTCAGCAATCTCAGGGGGACTCTGCTTAGTTTCTTGTATCTGGCAACCCAGGTCTGCTTAGTTTCTCGTACCTGGCAACCCACTCGCCCACTTTTATTTTATTTTAATTACTTTTAATTCATTTCATTTCATGTACTGCCCTTCATCAAAGGAGCACAGGGCAGTTTACAATTGGGTTTAAATCAGCCTGAAAATGAAGAATAGTAGTGTGAAAGAGGGGGAATGTGTCCAGCCTGGTTCTTTGTGAGTGTGCATTTCTTATATCTATTATCTGCATGGGAGAGAATGTTTGGGTGTAGATTTTTGTATGTCTGTAAGTTCCGTTCGTACGTACAAAAGAGAATGAAGTGTGTATATCCATCCATCCAACTTACATACCACCCCTTACAAAACCCCAGAGTGCTTTGCAAATCTCTTTAATAAGAAAACACACACTCAATAGATAAAATTAAAACTTACAGTATATCCAATACAGGACTCTCATTCAAAAGTTCTGGACAGAAATGAAAAATGTTAACAGATGGATGGAGGCAGAACAGACATACTTTCTCACATCTGAAGTGCCAGGGGCCTGGTTTTCTTGGGTCTGTCTGTTGTAGGTGGAAGTTTATTGCAGAGAGGGGTTATGTGCATGTTAAAGTTGCAGATCCATGCACCTGAAACTTGGAACTGCTGCAAGTATGTATCAAACCAGGAGCGGGGAGCCCAGTTTTAGCAGCCAAAGGCACAGCCATGTGAGGACTGCAAACACCCAGCCCATTCTGCTCAGCGCTTCCTTCCCTATAGCTCTGCTCAAGTGTTTTCCCTCCCAGCCATTTTTGAAATTGGAGCCTAGCTGCGAAAAAAAGTGCCAGGATAGGAAGAAGCTGAGAGGAGACGACCCAAGGGGGTGGGAGGATTCACCCCCCCCCACTGGCACGGCCTTTTTGCTGTTCAAACCCCACCCCCACCCCACCCCTGCATGCCTGGTAAATGGTGGCAGTCCTTCATTTCAACAGATGAATCTGCCGTCATGTAGCTTAACCCTAGGGGTGACCAATAATACACCCTATGTATTTTTTAAAGTCAATTCAAAGAAAAAACAGGCCGAAGATTTATAAAACCTACTAAATCTATCACCATTGGTTTAATGCACTTTCCAACTTTCCTGAAGGAGAAAGTGGCTGGGGAAGAGATTATAAAGCAGCTTCCTAATATGCTGATCAGTTAGGCACATTAGCATAGTCAAATGGGCAGGAAGTGGGTGCAAAAAACCCTTTACTACTGTGCCAAGATTGTAAATCCTGCTGTGCAGACTGACTCTCGTTGTGCTATAGCCTCCCCATCAAGGGCAGAGAGAGCTGAGGAAGCAGAGGATGCCACAGTTGTTGCCATACAGGATGCTCAGTCAGGTACAACACACTTCCAAAAAATTGCTCCCTGAAAAGGCACAACCCCCTGCTTGGAAAGCTACACACTGGCTGCTCCCCTCTCAGTGTATGTTCTGCATCTTGGTTGAGAACCGTCTCCTGAACACCCTCCACACAGGGTACCAACCCTTTTATATAGTGCCAAGGGGAGTTTGTGAGAACCAAAGTGATAGAAAAAGTCTAGAGTGATACATAGTCCAGATCTGAAGTAGGGGGAGACGTCCACTGTATCCACCTATGGATTCAGAGCAGCAAATGCTCTGTCCTTTGATATGCTGAAAGTGCTCCAGGCTTTGCATTGGAAGTTATAAACACAAAATCATAAGTGCTAATAAGGGCTACAACAGTGTGTAACTCTAGAGCATGGGTAGGCAAACTAAGGCCCGTGGGCCAGATCAGGCCCAATTGCCTTCTGGATCTGGCCCGCAGACGGTCCGGGAATCGCTGCAAGGATCGCCAGCGTGCACACATGCTTTCCCTCTCCCTCACATGGTGGTGGAGCCGGCGCCTCCTCCCTCCCTCCTCCTGGCTTCTCCTCGCCCTGCCTAGAGGAGGAAGGGGGCTGGGCTTTGTTGGTGCTAGCAGCAGCAGCAGCAGCAGTGGCATTCGAGCGGCCGCCATTTTAAGCAGCCCCTCTCCGGAGCCCTTTCGCGTGCCGCTCATCATCCCTCTGCCACCACCGCCAGTCCCTGCCGCTCGCAAGACACAGGTAACCAGCCACTGGGGCTCACGGTGCTCTTGCATCATCCCCCCCCCAAATATAGTCCGGCCCTCCACGAGTTCTGAGGGACATTGGACTGGCCCCCTGCTGAGAAAGTTTGCTGACCCCTGCTGTAGAGAGCCTCATCCTACCTCTGAGGTAGGAACTGGGCAGGAGGAAATGTTTTGTCATTTCCTGTGGCTCACAGTTACAACTAGAATATAACATTTTCCCTCCTAGTGGCAAAGACAGAAGCTTTATTTTGGAGGCCATTTTTTTTTAAAAAAAAATGGCTATATTGTATATGCATCACATAGAACCAGCAAATTTTATAGCTGATGGTCATCTAGTCCAACCCTCTGCCATGCAGGACTCTTTTGCCCAATGTGGGGCTTGAACCCACGACCCTGAGATTAAGAGTCTCAAGTTCTCCTGCAGAGCTTTCCAAACTGTGTGTTGTGACATTAGTGTGTCA